GGTGCTTACCCTGGCGAGCCGCGTGCCGAATGTTGCCGACCCCTGGCTTAAACAATACAACTGCTGTAATGTGCAAATTGTTTCAGCTCTGACCTGTGTGTCTGCTTCAGAGTATACTCGCACTACATCTTCTGTTCCTGATGGGCGGACAAAAGCTCGTGACACTCTGTACTTCTTTACAAGTTCATCGATTTTTTCTTGTAGTCCTGGGGGTGTAACTGCACGTCTCTCAGCATCTGTCGTGTCAATGACTCGTCTGTCTGCAACCTACAGTGGTAGGACCAAACAACATATAAAGAGCTACCCTTCTATAATGTGTTTCCTGTTGGGCTTCCAATTTGTCATTTAATCTGATTTGTTGCTTCAGTAAGTGAAGTTCTCCCTGCTTGTCTTTGTCATTTATCCTAGCTGGATTTGAATTACAGTAAGAATATCAATATGGCAAAGACACCTTCATATCTTCAGCATGCAGAGGGGAAGGCCAGTGAGTAGATGAATGCAGGGAGGGTCTCCTCAGAGAGAGAGGAAGAGAGAGACACTGACCACTAAACTCTGGCCAATGTTACAGTATCACCAACCTTAACTTTCAGCTGTCGGTTGGGAAGATCTGTGTAGATGGCATCCCACTGTTGCACTGTCAAACCCTTTAGAGCCAAGATTGCTTCAATCACTAGCATATCTGAGATGGCATCACCCACAGTCTATGAATATGAAGAAAATAAAGGAGTCTTCAATGACAATTAGAAAATCCAGGGTATTTTGTTACATTTGTTCTAGCGAATTCAACAACAAACAACAACAAAACCACACCAACCAAAGAGTCACTGAAAATGCAGACAGATTACAGGGTGACTGTCATAAGCTTGATTTTCCTTACCAGGAGCAGTGGCAGGAAGCGAAGGACTAGAGAACATACAGCGTACTTCACTGGAATGTTGTTTTACTAAAGATGAATTCTAGTAGTAAGATGAACTCCAATAAATGGAAGGTCAGATTCAGTGAGGGCAGGTGACTTGTTCCCTCCCTACACTTGCTCTGGCATCATAACTCCATTTAAAGGTGACCTGCAAAGGATAGTTTGGACTTGTGCCTTAAAGAAACCACCTCAATAAAGTGGGATGCTCTCACTGTATGCCTATTCAATCCTTAGCCTACGGGCTAAGACCACCAAAAATAATACCAGTGTCCAGATGGATACAAGGGCCTATACATGCCATCATCTCACTTCAGATCAAGAACCTTCAGATGAAAGTTACCTTTCCGGTGTGATTCAACCAAAAATAACAAACTAGTAATAGGATGTGGGTGTGAGGTGTCATTCTCCAGTCTCCCAAGCCATCCAATCCCCTTCCTCTTATCTAGCTACAAGCGCAGAAGACCAGAAGTGTTTTGCCTTTGTAAATGTGGAAATCTTGACATCTTTCAAAGGTGAAACAATTACTGTTCAAACAGGTCTTCCTTTAGTAGACCAAGTGTGGAGAGAGGGGTTTTAAAAGAGAATAACGGGTGCCTATAGCTGTCTGCCTAGCCTGGTAGGATGTTAAAATAGGCCATTCCTTCCCTTTGCCTATTTTGTCATGGTGTGCTGCCTTCTTCCACAAGATTTTCTACACACTCCTCCCATCCAGTCACTCAACATGCCAACAGTGTTAGCCCCCCAGATCAGAAACCAAGTATCTAATTTTTACATTTCAGCTCTTACTTGATTAATCAGGTCAATAGTATTTTCAAGCATCTTTGCAGCTTCTCTTTTTTGATTCTCCTTTTCTTCTTTTGCCATGTGTCTTATTTTCTCTTCAGCAGCTTTACTAAATAATACCTAGAGAAAAGAGGAGATAATAGGACGTATGCCATCAGACATCTCTAAACAGTACATACAACAAATTTGATCTGTTATGCCAACTAAACCCAATTAGTTGTCTCTGGGTTTCACTTCCATGAACTCCCATGTTTAGAATACTGAACAGTTAGTGGCAGGGGGAAGACACAAGAGAGAAGGAGAGGTGATTAGGAAACACGGGGATAAAGGTCGGGGGAAGAAGTGCTATTTGGATTTGGAAAGATGCTACGTATTTTCAAGCTAATTTGGTTGCTAAGTTTTATACACACTGGCTTTAAAACTCAAATAACCCTATAATGCCCCTTGTGCATGTACTTACTGTGCCATGCCCATTTGCCTCAAAGTAAACTCCAATGTCAAATTCCTGGGCCTTGTGATGCAAATGCTTTACTCCTGTTTTGGTACAATGAACAGACACCTACAACCCAGAGATACAGGAAAAGCATAGACAAAGTGGCATGAAGTCAACATCCTGAGTAGATGGTAAGAACACAGGATCAAACTGTTACCACTTAGTTGCAAGAATAAGCGTCAGGAAACTAGCTACAAGCCTTGATGGACTATGAGCATTTAGTACACATAATCACTTTGACTACAAAAAGCAGTAACAGAAGTTATCTACCGGTAATTCTCACTGCAGACCTGTTGGGTAAGTAGCTTTCTCACTTATCCATCAGTAACGAGAGGATAAAAGATTAAGGGTAGGTACACAAAGATACATGGTATTGCAATGCTGACCCCCCCACCCCCGCCACCTAGTGGAATTCTCAGGTCCCAAGGCTCGCCACACTATTCATGGGGAGAGTTAGCAGCCTAAGGAAGGACGCCTCAGAAGCTAGGGAGCTGCCTGTGCAAGCCAGAATTGAACTGAAGATTAAAGGGATGGAGCTCAAGTGCCTCAACCCACTCAAAATTCTCAGCCGCGAGCCCTCTCCTGGAGTTAGCTGCCTAAGCCACATCAGCTGCTTAGGTAGTCAATGCCCAAGCGGCCAAAACCCAGGCCTTTTTCAGGAGAGAGGGGCGCTTTATCTAGGAAGGCAGGTGCCTAGAAAACCTTCCTAAGGAAAGGTGATCTAATATCAGGACCATAAATATCACTTCAACAAAATTTAATGTTTTAAGGCGATCAGGCCTAATCTGTTTCCCTCAGCCGTCTCAGTGTATAATGGGCTCTGAAACTCTAAGGGTCAGAAAATTTAGATGATTTTGTTTAGCATTTTCAATCCAACTTTTAAGTTAGCCAGAACTGGCACTGACACTCTACCACCTTTAAAATATCATTTATCACCAAGAATTTAAATAGTTAATGAAGTTTAAAGCAAAATAGGTTTATTCCAAATTAGGTCTGCCTGGTGTCCATCACTGCTTTTTTAAAGCTAGGAAACAACTGTGGAGGAGAGAGAGAGAGAGAGAGAGATTACTTGATACCTTCATGGTTTCCTCAAGATAACGTGTAGAGCTCCCATTAGCATATGCTGTTTGTACCACTGCCATCTTTAGAGTTTGTCCTATCTGAGCAGAGGGAAAAGTAAATGGCTTAATGGCACACACATAAATCTTCAGAAAGGCACAGTATAAAGGAAGAGCTAAACCAAGATTTTAGTTCAAGATGAGAACAGAATATTTAATGGGTGAAAGACTTTCAACACATAGTAACTGCTCTCCCGCCGGACCTCCAGAACTCTGACACATTTGGGAAATTGAAGGAGGTAGTGGCTTGGCTCACAGGACACAGAACTTTCTGACATTAAGTATTACTGTGAACCTGGCAAAGGCCAGTTCAAGTCAAAAGTGGTTATCATTGGATATTGTGTCTGTGGCCCCAGGAGAAACGAGTTGATGTCCATCACAGAAACTGACACCAACTGGAATGTGCCTTAGCAGGGCAGTCTCAGAGGCACCAAGGACCACGTGAGCATGGAGATTGGAACTGCTCTTTTTACTCCCAATGGACAGTGGGATTTTATGCTCCAGGTCTGTCCATGCAGCACCTTTCACAATCAGTAAGAACACGAGAATGCTTCATAAATGCATTCCAAGGTAAATCAAATGCAAATTGGGTTCACAGGAATTTTCCAAGGGAAGGGAAGGGTAGGATTGACCCCTCAAGCTTAACTCAGGTCAACATGGAGTTACAAGGGTGAAGAGGAGAAGAGGTAGGAAGACACTTCAGCTTGTGAGCAGTAAAGTGAAACTTAAAAGTAGGGTAATTTTCTAGTCAAGGCATCAAGGTTAAGGCTACGTTTTAGTCACGGGTATTTTTAGTAAAAAGTCATGGACAGGTCACAGGCAGTAAACAAAAATTCACAGCCCATGACTTTTACTATATACCCCTAACTAAAAAAAACTGGTGAGGGGGCGGCCCGGGGGGTGCCGCAGGTGCTCTGGGGGAGGGCGGGAGACACCACGGGTGCTTGTGTGGGGCTGATGGGGGGGCGCACCGGCACATGGCCTGGGACCCCTGCTAGTACTGGGGATGGGGGACGGGGGGGGGGGGGGGGGAGGGGGAAGGGGGGGGGGATGGCTCCCTACCCAGCTCTGCGCCACCCTGGAAACGGCGACATCCCTCAGCTCCTAGGCGGAGGCATGGCTGCGCAGTTCTGTGCGCTGCCTCGGCAGCTCCCATTGGCTGGGAACTGCGGCCAATGGGAGCTGCCAGGGCAGTGCCTGCAGGTGGTGGCAACGTGCAGCGTCCCCTGGCTGTGCCTCCCCCTAGGAGCCGAGGGATGTCGCTGCTTCTGGGGAGCACCCGCCCGCCCCAAGGTAAGCATCACCCATAGCCAGCACTCCCTCCTATGCCACAACCTCCAGCCTGGAGTCTCCCACCCAAACTCCTGCTGGGACGGTGGTGCAGGGGAAGGTGGCCCGAGACTGCCCCAGCAGCGGCCGGTGCGGCTAGCCACTGCAGAAGTCATGGGAAAAGTCATGGAATCTGACCTTCATGACAAACCTGCAGCCTTAATCATAGTCAGTGCTAAGTTTTCTAGTTTCAGCATGAATTTAAAGCCATCCCTCTTGCCCTCCCAAAATTAGGTCACTCCTTTTGCCACAGCAACAGGTGTATAAAAAGAGGTCTTTTTGTTTTTTAAATGTAATTTTGCATCGGTATGCGGCTTTAGAAAGAGCACCTGTGTGCGTACATATGCCCAGGGTAACCCCACCTTCACTGGGTGAGATGTATGTTTTACAGTTTGGGGCAAAGCAAAACTCTTTACTGTATAAGTAGAGTTACCTTGATAAGAAGTTCTTTAATGAAAGTGCTAATTAAAGTTGCTATTTTATCTCCATCCACAAGATGAAAATGGCCAGCAGTATCATTATAGTAATAAACAATTCTGTCTGCATCTCCATCAAACGAGCAGCATCTTTCATGAGGTTTGATTTCTAGTCCTATACACAAGGAAGTACAAACTATTAGATATGGAAAGGGAAGCAGAGCTTTAGTTTTTTTTTATTCTATATCTATCTATCTCAAGAAAGATTAGTTATATACATGCACACTCTAAACATGAAAAACTTTTAGTAGTACGAGAGCAAGAAGTTGATTTTATTAAGTAAATCCCATCTTGAACTCTTCTAATCAGGGCAGCTGCATGAAATGGAAGTTGCAAAGAAAAGTGCATCTTCAGTTTGAAATTAAAAACTGAAAATTCAGTCTCTATAGCCATTTATTGTTATACCACCTTAAAAAGGTCAGGTTACAAAGTCTATATGAAATATGGTCTCAGAGCCACTCCTAGTATATTTTGTTAAATAAGTAACAAACAGCAATTATGGCACCAAAAATAGAATCCAGCCCTCCCAAATGCCCACATCCCTCGCCACCACAGAGTACAAGCAGCTGCATCATCTAGTCAGCCAAGTCAGAAACCAGAAACATCTAGTACTCCCACTGTAATCCACAGATGTGAGCTAATGCCTGCAAAATGAGACAGATGGACCTCACCTCAGGGTGGAAGCAGAAAGATGTCAGCTTGGTGCATGCTGCACCATAACAAACCCTTCCCTCATATGCCTCCTTTACAAACTGACTGGAATGAAGACATGGCATCTAGACGGTCTAGATCCATAAAACTCCATGTGTCTTGCTTCAAATTCAACCCTCTTCTACTTGAGTAGAGTACTATTCATCAGCATTTCCACAAAATGATTATGTATGGTGAATCCACTATGCTTTCTTGGCCTCTTGCTATGGTTTTCCCACTTTATATCTCACTATCTATAGGCTGGATGGACATTAACCCTTCTGCATCAAAGGTTCTTTTCCTCTTCAAGACATTTTTCACCACCTGCTTTAGGTATGTTCTCATTTCTCCCTCATGTGTCCCCTTGTTAATGCTAGTATTAACGAGAGGAAGTGCAAAGCATATCAAGTGAGCCCACACTTCTAGGAAACCTTTTGACCATTTAATCTACCAAACTGGTATTATACAGCAATGTTTTTTGGTGTAAGAATCTTGGCTACTACAGGGCTTCTATAGCATCCATTACTAAGATTATATATTAATGTTTTGCACAACTTTGAGATAAGTGGATCTGCTGGTCATACAAAACATTGAGCAGAGTGTTTGTTTTGCTCTGTGTTTTTACAGGGCCAAAACTGTTTAATACTCATTAAAAGAAATAGCCCTGTGATAGACAGCCAACAGCTATCGCCTAGCACTAGAGAGCTCAAACAAAGATTTTCAAGGGAAACTAGTTTTTTTTCCTCACAGACTTTATAATTCTTCCCCTGTTAACTCTCCTAACCCTTCTTAATGACCTCAGAGGGGAGTGAGAAGGAACAGAAGGATTCTCTGGGGACTTTCATGCCAAAGAATAAGGTTTCTTGACACCATATTGCTTGATTTTAGCGATCTCAAGAGCAGCGCTTCTAAAGAGGGAGGATGGGAGTGCCAAGCCGCCTCACCCCATCCCAGAATCTCTTGCTCTGGAAACATTCTGGTTCCTGCGTGAGAGAAGAGCAGCACTCAACTATTATCCTCTCAGTTGCCGAGGCATTCCATCCAACTCCTCCCCCCTTTGCCATCCCTTCTCTCAAGTAAGTTGACACCTGAATGAGGCAGTGCAATTGCAGCTGGCACATAAATTAGCATGTCCCAGTGGCCTGGAAAAACCTTAGACCAAAGTTTGAATGTGAACAACTAAAGACATAGGAACGTACATCCAGTTAGCCACCTAAACAAAAGTGGCCTGAGTTTCAGAGGTGCTGTGCCTTCTGCGTTCCTAATGATTTCAATGGGGAGTTGTAAACACTCAGCACTTCAGTGAAATCAGGTACCTAATTCTGGATTTACACTCCTAACTTAAGACACTCAGGTTTGAAAACCATCACCTTAATTTCAGCCTATGGATGAAGAGGTACCTTACCCTATGAAGTGGCAATAGCTTTGCTTCCCCAGCTTGTGCTTGAGTCTGCATCTGAAATAGCCACCCACTCCCTGAAAGTGGCTGCTATGACGATCCCATCAGTGGCTAATATAAAAGTCATACATGGGCAATGGTTGGAGCCACCCTTAGGAGAGGCTAGCCCCCCGGCTCCACCCCTTCAGCCCATGCCTCCTCCCCTCCGACCCCGCAGCTAGAGCCCCGAGATCCCCTGCCTCTCCCCCCATGGCCAGAGCCATGAGTTCCCCCTCGGCCAGAGGCCCCGAGTGCCTCCCCCTCTGAGCCCCCCACCCAACCTGCCCGAAAGAGCCCCGAGCCAGCCGCGCCTCCCCAGACGCTGCGGGGAAAAGCCTTTCACTCTCTATCGAAGAAGCTTTTGATATGCCTCATGCAGGTTCCGGAGCTGCTGAGGCGGCGATATGTACTACTCAGCTTCCTGGGCTCATCAGTAATCTCTCTGGAGTCCAGGGAGATTACTGATGAACCCAGGAAGGTGAATCGCATGTACCACCTCCTCAGCCACCCCAGAACCTGCATGGGGCATAACAAAACAAAAACTTCCCCCCAAAGCCCTGCAACCAGGTGTCCAGTGGCAGCACCAGGGGAGACAGAGCCTCCCCTGGACTATTATACCCACAGCCCATGAAGTCAGACCTACAGAGGTGGCCTCCTGCTGTTTCCCCAGTTGATAGTTCCAAACAAACCAAACCAACAGAAACTGAGTCAGCAAGAGCAATTTTACAAGAGGACTGAAGCAGCAACCTGGAGTTCACCATGAGCTAGCAACTCCAGAGAAGGAGAGTGGTTCTACAGCAGAAAAACAGTATAGCCCGAGGAACCCATTCCTCAAGTCTGGTCACTCTTTCAATTTTTAGAAGTTGAGACCCATGATTTTATTTTATGCACCTTGCATGAATTTGGGCTAAGTCATCTCTTCACAAGCCTGAGTCAGATAGTGACTTAAAATCCTTCAGAAATACTCTGCCACAGTTCTGGTGCTCTCAGTTACATTCATTCACTTTGGGTTGTCGGGACGTGTGTAAATTCACTCTGGTGGCCTTTAAGCTTAGAGTAATCTGTTATCACTTTGATGATTTACAGCATTAAGGAGTTCAATGAAGATCAGTCACCTCTTTCTGGGTAAGTCATGCATCACTATATTTCCATGCTAAGTCCTGTGCTTTGAAAGCTCTTGCTGAGTAGGCTGCTTAACACAATTTGTATTCTAAAAGGGTTAAAGATTTAGACTGCAGATTACATACCCAGAGGAGGTTTCTGATGAACTTTCACAAAGTCTGCACCGCATAAATGATTGAGTTTCTCTTTGGTTCCATCATTATATAAGTGAATTAACAGTTTCTTTGGAAGGTAACGTTCCATTTCTTTTAGTTTCAGGGCTCCTATACCATTTGCACAATCTATCTTCAGACACATCTGGTCATCTCCAGAGCTGGAAGCCTTCACACAAGAGAGGGGAAGGAGAAGTGTTAAAGTGAACTATAATATTTTGGATAAAAACCCCAATAGGTCTCGCAATTCCCCACACCAGAGGACAAGCAGGTCTGAAGCGTGCTGAGCCATTTTTTAACTTGTACACAGAAGATATCCAATTTGCACATTTACATGAATATAAGCAATGAATTATTTAGTGAGAATGTAACGGCCCTCACTTGTTTTGTCAGCTCCCCAAAAGCTTTGGATAGTTTCTGGTAGTAACCTTCCACTGTTGCCTTCCCATAGTGCTCTTGAGTATTTTGACAGCAGACCATGTAATGCAGCTGTGGTGTTGTTACCAGACCATAATCTAATATAAAACAAGTCACAATATTAAAAGAACAGAAGAGTCATTCCTGTTTAGATTGTTGTTTGCAATGTTGGTCCCAAAATATTGAAGAGACAAGGTGGGTGAGGTAAGATCTTTTATTGGACTAACTTCTGTTGATGAAGAGCTCAAAAACTTGTCTCTTTCAGGTCTGGGAAAGGTACTCAGACCCGCTCTACATCAAAAAATTAGGTTGGTTAACTAAATCTGTCAAAGGTGTGAAAAATCCATGTTCCTGAGCAGCATAGTTAAGTGGACCTAAGTCCCCGTGTAAACAGTGATAGATGGAGAATCTTTCCCCTTGGCATAGGTAGCGTCCACACTGAATTGTTACAGTGGCACAGCTGCAGGAGTTCTGCTGTAGTGTTTTAAGTGCAGACAAGCCCTCAGATTGTCACAGCTAAATACAAGGTGGAACAGATTGTTAATATAAGTAGTTAAATATTCTAAGAGACGGTACAAGATGAAGTGAACTGTTAGCATCCCTGCAGTCATGGGACAAAAGTAGTGTGTGTGTGTGTGTGGGGGCTGTTAGTGGGTTACAGATTGTTGTGATAAAACCATAATAAAGACACTAATTAAAGACCATGATTTTTAATGTCTAGCAAAGTTATGAATTCCCAGGTTCGTCTTTTCAAGGTGTCACAACACATTCAAAAGATGAGCTCTGTGTAGCTCAAAACCTTATCTTTCGTCATAAGAAGTTGGCCCAATAAAAGATACTACCTCACCCACCTTGACTCCTATTTAGAGAGAGAGAGATATATATATATATATATATATATATATATATATATATATATATATAGGAAATATTTTTCAAGAAACCCATGGGAGGGGGAGGGGTAGGAAAACACTTTCTGTTAAACTTGTATAGAGAAATAGCCTCTTATGTTAAGATCATCCCAAAACACACATTCACTATAAGCAGCAATGGAAATGGCATCTGAGCTACAACTTTGGGTCTATGTTATATTTCACACTTACATAAAAACTTCAAATATAAAGCATAAGGTTAAATGTCAACATACCATGATATTGACCACCTAGAGCAGATACACCATCTATTACTGATTGTGAAAGTTTCTCACTGCTAGGTCTGAAAAAGAATAAATACAATCACTATGCAGAAATACAAACCTAGGCCTCACTCCTTTGGTGAGATCTGCACAGGTGGAGAAGTCCGCTAACATGGATCTCAATGCAGAATCAGATTCCCATGTGACATTAAGATAATTACATAAAGATTAGGCAGCTGATGTAGTAATGGTATCACTAACACTAAAAAGGCCCAATCTAATGCCCACTGAAATCAAAAGAAGTCCTTCCGTCCTCTTCAGTGGACACTGGATTAGGCCCAAGAAGCATATTATGTTTGGAGAGTTAAACATGTTACCATAATAGGTAGATTTAAAATGAAACATGTGAAGTGTGCTGTGCTGCCCTTATAGTGTCTTGCATTCTATGCACAGAAATTCCAGCAGAGATAACTGCCTGTGAATGCAACTTTGGTAGTTAAATACAGTCAATATCATTTTACAATTACCTGGTGTCTCTACCAATAAAAACTGAGGCATATTGGTGCAGTTTCACTGCTTCTTTCTGGCAGATCTCAGTCAGTATACTTTGTATTTCTTGCTCTTCTGCATTAGCTAGGCGTGTAGCATATTCTTCCCAGGCAGAGGTCAACATTTCACCCAGAGGATCGACCAATTTTACACCATTGTCTTCCTTAGAAGAAAATAAATGTACTAAGTCTAAAAGGGAGAAACCCAGCAGAGTCTCTTTAAAGACAGAAGATAAATACAGATACATCATTATGGCTTCATTTAGGCCTAAAGTGTTCCTAATAAAAGCTACCAAACAAATCCCCACACAGCCGAAATCAGTAATATCATCAAAATATTAAGTCACTATTTTTCAGGCAGTTCTGTAAAAAAAAGGATCAGTTGGTATCAAAGTGACAGGCTTAGCGATTCCATAGCCTGAAATATCCTAAGAGCAGCAGATAAGTGAAGCAAATACTCCACTTATAACTGTTGCTTCCTGAAAGCAAGTGTCAACTTAAAATAAATAGATTCAGAGTTTGCTGGAAGGGTTTGCTCTCCCTCAGATATACTGCCAGCTTCTCATGCTCATAAGGTCCTGTATTGTAACAGTTTTCCTTCCAAAGTGGAGGGAAGAAAAAAACTACAAGCAAAAGTGGGGGTATGAGTTTGTGTGGCAAAGTAGCTTCCAGCATGCAATCAGTCTTATTTGTGGTCAATGAGACTATTCACATGCTTAAATTAAGCACAAGTGTGTTCACATGATCTGGCCTCTAAATGCTTTCAGTCTCTGCCAGCTTAGAGATTTTGACTCTCCTTTGGTTGATATCATCTATTTTCCTTTTTTAAAAAAAGAATACAATCAGAAACATTCTTACTTCAGGATTGTGAGATGCTGTAACCATGACTCCAATAGTAGATTTGGTCTGCCTGGACCTTAGTACTGCCAGCAAACCCATGCGATACATGACATGATCAAGATGTCCTGCCTTGGTACGAAATCCAGCAGTTCCATACTGAAGGCTAAGTCCAGCTGGTTTCAGGTGTAATGCTGAGTACTTTGCAACTGCCTCAAAATCCATTTCTATAAAAGGAAACTATACAGATGTTATTAGTAAAGGCTAAAATCACCATAATAAACTTCTCATATTACACTTAACTTGTAAATCCACAGATATATTGAATTAACCAGATAAGAATAAGTCTCAGAAGACAGACAGAAACAAGTAGCATTTACATGAAAAAGCTTTTAGCTTTTAAGGATGTTTATTTGTGTAGTAAAAATATATTTTAAACAGCAACTTAATCTTGGGGAAAAAACACTCAAGAGTTTAAGTTAAGTCTACATATATTCATGCAAGATAGGGGTTTTTTTTATGTTTCGCTATTGTTAGAGTCAGGGTTATTAGATATGTGAATTGAAATTAATCCCATGTAGAGGGTCCACACAAAGACATTCACACCCCACAAGCTAATGATGGGTTTGCAGAGGAAACACCAGCATTATAGCCTGGGAAGGAGCCTCCACATCACCTGCATACCTTAAAGGGAGTCTATGCCAGCCCCACAAGCCAGTGCAGAGAGAGGAAGAGACTGAGCCAAGGGGGGATCCTCAGTTGCACTGGTCCAGTGGCCCTAGTGCAAGTGGCAGAGAGAGACAGTGTCTCCTATTCCAGACAACAGCAGGCAGAGGGTATTTGGCTGCAACACCAGGCCAAACTCCCAGATTTCCTTCCCCAACATACTCCAACCATGTAAAGTCTATTACTTCCTTTTCTTCTTTTCATATCCAAGCAAAATTATTGTTTGTATTGTGGCAATTCTTAGGGGCTCCAACCATAGATCAGGACTCCACTACATTAGGTGTTGTACAAACACAAAACCAAAAGTATCCCTGCCCCAAAGACCTTACCAAGCAGGGCTTTGTAGCAGCTGCAGAGCGGTGGAGCTGCAGGTTTTTGCATGGAGCTGGAGCGGAGCCGGAGCACAGCTCCAAAGCCCTGTTACCAAGTAAGGCTATGTCTACATTGTGCATCTTACAACGGCGCGGCCATGCCACTGCTGTCACACCGTTGTAAGGTGCGCAGTGTACTCCCGGCGACAAAATAAAACCACCCCCAATGAGAGGCAGTAGATTCGTTGCTGGAAAAGTGTCTCCCGGTGACTTAAGGGCTGTGCACACCGGCACTTTTCGTCATTAAAACTTTTGTCGTTCAGGGGTGTGTTTTTTTCACACCCGAGTGACAAAAGTTTTGACGACAAAAGTGTAGTGTAGACATGGTCTGAGAATAAGGCAAGAAACAACATGCGGGTTCAACTGACAGACAAGCAGAATACAAGGTAACAATGGAACAGTACTGGTAAGCATGACAGGGATAACAGCACAGAAGTTGCCTCCATTGTTGACTTTTCTGTACACATCACAGCAGAGGAGAATTTTAAGAAGGGATCAGAAATCAGGGAGGTGGCCTTGCACATGTTTATGGGAGACAGCAAGAAGGTGCTCCTTGGAAAATTTAACTACTGGGCAATGCAGGCTACCATAACTGGCACATGGGAGACAGGAGACCACTGCTCAATATAGGGTTACCATATGTCCAGGTTTTCCTGGACATAACTTCTTTTTTGGTTCTCCGTTCAAGTGGATTTTTGAAATACAAACGAACAGCCTTCATTTTTCCTTGCTCGTCCTTTTTCCTTGCCTTTAGAGTGGGACCGCCAGAGAATGGCAGTTGCTGGCCAGGTGCCCAGCTCTGAAGGCAGTGCTGCGGCCAGCAGCATCACAGAAGTAAGGGTGGTATGATATGGTATTGCCATATAAACTGTACCCCCTTCCTCTCCTCCCCCTAGCAGCACAGGCACCAATTCCATTGGGCTCAGCACCTTCTGCAGCAGGCATGGAGGTGCTGGGGGTGGGAAGAGACAGAGTGAGGGCAGGGCACACAGGTGGTAGGAAGGGGCGGGGTCCTTGGGGAAAGGGGCAGAGTGGGGGCGGAGCACTCCCTGGACAGAAGAAAGTCAGCAGCTGTGTGCCTGGCACTGTCCTCTGTTTGGGAACTTGAAATATGGTAACCCTAGCTCATTAGTGCAGGAGAGACCTTGTTCCTCCTGACTCACCCCTGTGGGCTGACACCAAGCAGGAGAGTTTTAACGCCAGAAGGTAAAACTTTTCGGGACAGTTACCAGAGAGTGAGGGGAGCACAGAGAGGCCTGTCTGACTCTCCCCAGAGCTGGTAGCAGCTAGTCGCCCCCCGGAGCACACGCCCAGCCCGGACCAGCCCTACGCACAGGGCGAGGTGCCCATCCCTGCCACGTGACCCTGCCCAGAACCCCTCTGCCCTCACCGAAGCTCGCCCAGGACGGAGACCCCGCCGCCCCGCCCAGCAAACCACGTCCCCGGGCCCCTAGACTGCAGCGAGACCGCCGAACACCGGCAGCAGCACAGACCCGCCTACCTGCAGCAGCCGCCGACGTGGCTCTCAGCCGCCACACGGTCCAACACGCCCCTTCCTGGCTTCATGCTAGCCACACCCCCTGACGCCGCGCGTAGCCAATCAGAGCGCCGCAGGCCTGCGAGCGTTGCTTACCTGAGCGTTCCATCCGCTCAGTGATACCCCGCCTGGGGACCTTCTCTAGCCGCGGACGGCGGAGCTCCGCCCGGAGGTTAGCCAGGGTGGGGCGGGGCTAAGCGGGAAGCTGCTCCTTTCGAGGGGGAGGGGCTGTGGGACGTGGTTCTGGCCACGCGGGGGGCGGGGTTGGGCGGCACCTAATGGTAGTAGGGCAGCCAGGGTGGGCAAACTTTTTGGCCCGAGGGCCACATCGCGGTTGTGAAACGGTATGGAGGTCCGGGTAGGGAAGGCTGTGCCCCCCCCAAACAGCCTGTGCCCCTCCCCCATCCACCCCCTTCCACTTCCTGTCCCCTGACTGCCCCCCTCAGAACTCCTGACCCATCCAATTCCCCCGCTCCTTGTCCCCTGACCGCCCCCTCCCGGGATCCCCTGTCCCTAATGCCCCCCAGGACCCAACCCCCCCCCCGTCCCCTGACCGCACCCTCCCAGGACTCCCTGCCCCTAACTGCCCCCCTGGGACCTCCTTCCCCCATCCATCCCCCCCTCCACCAGCCCCTTTCGGAATGTGGCCCTGGGAACATGGGCGGAGGACTCAGGAGGAGCAGGGGCAGCAGCCGGAGAGAAGAGGCGGTTTCCCCTTCAAAGCACTGCTTCTCTCCGGCCAGCTGCGTGGCCGCCCAGTGCTCCTCCTGAGTCCTCCGGCCACGCTCCGCCACCCGCCTGCTCCTGCAGTGCAGCCCCTCCCCCCGCGGGGGTGCGCCGGTGCTGAGCTGCCCGAGTGCCCAGCCCTGCGTCCCCCTGTTGTTGAAGGGTCCGTGCCAGGGCACCCTGTGTTCACTGGTAAATCTGCCCCTGAGCCGCGCCGCCCAGCCGGAGGCTGCGGGGGGACAGCAGGGGAGGCCCAGGGTCGGCCGGGAGCTCAGGGGCCGGGCAGGATGGCCTCGTGGGCCGTAGTTTGCCCATCTCTGTAGTAGGGACCCAGTGAGGGGCAGGGTTTCAGACTGTGGGCGAGTCCCAGCCTGAAGTAAGCGCTGGATGGCCTTGCTTTCCGGGAGGTGCAGCAGGATGGGATGGAGCATGGGGTTGGGGCAATGGGGCCGAGGTCTTGGGCAGAGTGGCCAGTTCCTTCATTTCATTGTGAGTCTTGCAACATTAGGCATTTTTCCTAAAGCTTCAGCTCCTGGAGTCACAGGATACGGGAGAATTTTGACTTTAGTTTTTTTCAAAAGAAAAATAAACTTTCTGCTCCTCATGGTTTTGGGTAAAATGTAGAAAACATGACCCTGTGAAAGCCATAATGCAATAGACAAATGTAAAGACCTCAAAATCCATTGTTTTCAAAATCTCATGATTTTAAACTAGTTTTCTGCACTTTTAGGGGCTCACGAGCTCATGAGCAGAGCTCTGTGACATTCTTAAATTTAAAAAAATATATTTTATTTTGGGGGAAATTCTTATTTCATTTTATCCATTCCCTCCCCTCCTCCTGGGTGCATTGGGTCCTTCATCTGGAGGGATGGGAGGCCCTGGGGGGAGATCAGGTCCTCCCTCTCCTCCCCCCAATGGGTGAGAGGTCCTGGGGATGGGTGGGGGTTGGGTTCTGTCCCCAGATAGGCAGGAGGCCCTGGGAATGGGTGGGTCAGGTTCTGTCCTTTGGGTGGGAGGATCGGAGGGGAGTGGTGTAGGCCATGGGCAGGCGGTTGCAGAGTACCTCAACCTGCAATGATGACTCCTGTCCTGCGGGGTTGGGCCCATTTCCTCACTCCCAGCATTGCAATCTGGCAGATGGGATCACAGTGCCTCTCACTCAAGTTTGGCCTAGCCACCCCTGTCATCGGGGAAGCTGGACCAAACCTAAATGGTGCTGTGTCTCTGTGCGGCAGGTCACAACACCCAGACCGAGAAGTTTAGCTGACAAGATGGGGATGATCCAAGCCAGGGGTGGGCAAACTATGGCCCATGGGCCACATCCGGCCCGTCAGACCATTTCATCCAGCCCTCAGTTGGGGAGCAGGGTTGGGAGCTTGCCCCGCTCCATGCGGCTCCCAGGAATCAGCCGGCATGACCTGCCTCTGGCTCCTACGTAGTATGCACAAGCGTGGCGAGGTGGGAGCCGCATGGGTGACGCCTGCGAATGAAGCAGCGCACAGAGCTGCCTGGTCGCACCTCGGAGCCGGAGGGGGGACATGTTTCCGGGAGCTGCTTGTGGTAAGCGCCCAGAGCCTGCACCCCAGAGCGCCCCCCCGTGCCCCAATCCCCTGCCACAGCCCTGATCCCCCCCTCGCCCTCCAAACCCCTCAATCCCAGCCCAGAGCCCCTTCTTGTACCCCAAACCCCTCACCTCCCCCCCCCCCCCAGCGCCCCCCCCCCCCGGCACCCCCCCCTTCTCCCCCCCCCCCCGGTGCCCAACAGCCTGCCCCATCCCTGATCCTCTTCCTGCCCTCTGAACCCATTGGTCCCAGCCCAGAGCACCCTCCTGCACACCAAACCCCTCATCCCAGCCCCGCCTGAGAGCCCTCACCCCTGCCCCCCAACCCCTGAACTCATTTCTGACCCCACCCCAGAGCCTGCACCCCCAGCCAGAGCCCTCATCCTGTCCCGCACCCCTACCCCCAATTTCATGAGCATTCATGGCCCTCCATACAATTTCCATACCCCAATGTGGCCCTCAGGCCAAAAAGTTTGCCCACCCCTGATCCAAGCCCTCTGTTCCCCATTGCTGCACATACACAGCATTGGATAATTCTCATCACATTTCAGACTTTGAAAGAAGGTTATAATCCATACAAAGAGCAAATCATTTCAGATTTGTTGCAAACTCACCTGAAGTTATAGTCATTTTTGGAATGTTTGGTGTAAAGCCCCAGCTCTTGGAGTCAAGTAATAATTTCAACTTTCATTTTATTATTATTTTAAGGAAGTTTCTAGCAATCGTGGTTGTGGAGAAACCTGGAAAATGTGACCTTAGTGACATTGATGTAGTGATGTTTGCATGAGTTTACAGCAAATCTGAAACAAAAGCTTTGAGGGTCATCAGGTATCTTAGCTTTTCATAATGCTTTGTGAAGATATAGAAAAGAAAAAGAAAATTTAATTTCCTGATGTTATAAACTGGAAAAGGATGTGCTCAAAGAGGGAGAGATAAATGGTGAGACTTCTCCCAGCAGAGATCTGAATCTACTGGTGAATCTGTGTCCTGCATAACTTATTTAATTACAGTAAATAGGTTTGGGCTGATATCTCACACAGACTTCTAAATTTTCACCCTCTTGTATGCTGTTCCTACTATCTGTAGAGGTGTATCTGTTTTGTGTGACATTCTTTATTTGAATATAATAAACTATTTCCAAAGAATAAAATACTACCTAGAAGAGATATAGATGTTGCAATAGATGTAAACTGAAAAATTGCTTACTTTCTCATTGTATGAAATTTTAGTTTGTACTGACCTCTCTAGTGCTTTTTATGTAGCCTGTTGTAAAACTAGGCAAATATCTAGATGAGTTGATGAGACTGCTGTGTACCCCAGGGGTAGGTGTACTCCTGGTTGAGAACCACTGGTCTAGTCTGAGCTCTTAAAGTAGCCAAAACGTTTCCAAATGTAACCATACCCAGTGAATCCTTCCTTGGGTGTTCAGTTAGAAGAGGCTGTGGGTCCAGGGCAGTGCTCTTCCTAGCTTTGAAGCGGACTCTCTATGCTGCTGCTTCCCCATCCGCAAAATGGGTTACACATTTGCAGTATGATTACAGTTATGTAGTTTGCCCCATTAAGTTCAGCAAACCAACAACTATGGTGCATGCCCCGTTTGTGTTTTTTTAAAGGGTTAAACTCATCATAATGCAAAACTTTGGGGGCAAAAAAAGGACGATTTCCATGCCAAGTTTTCCTTTGCAACGCCCCTGTTGTAACCGCTGCTTTGCTTGGAGAGCTCACAAGGTTACATTTATTAATGGACAAATTGTCTTTCCCAGCTCCGCACACTCGACCGGCGGACAGGAGCCCTTCGGCGGGGCGGCACGTTCCATCGCGCTCTGGGCCTCCCCTCCCCGCTGCCCCCTGGCCCGCAGGCTGGGTGTGCGCAGAGCTCACGTGACGTAACCCACAGCCCCGCCCCATCGCGGTCTGGCGCGAGTCTCCCCAGCGGCCCCGGCCCCGCGTGGGGTGAGGGCTTTGGCGTCGCGAGCATTTCTTGCTGAGCCCGGGCCCGGCGGGGAGCGGGGCAGACTCCCATCCCCTGCCGCGTCACTAGCGAAAGCTGCGCCAAGGCCATGGCGCCGCCCCCGGCTTCAGCAGAGCCGAAAGAACCGCGCTCAGCTGGCTCCGGCCGCCGCCTCAGTCAGACCCGCCGGCGCGGACGCGGCAAGGGCGCGCGGCCGTGAGAAGAGCGGCTCGGGCGCCTGCCGTTGGTAACGGGCCGGGCGCGGCCCGCAGAGGTAGGCTGCCTGACCCGGGCCGGCCGGCCCCGCTGGTGAGCCTGGGCCCGCCCAGTGGCGGGGGGCGGAGGCGCCCTGAGAGGTCCCCGCTCACGCTCATTTGCCCGCCCTGCGCTGGGGGCGGCTCCGGAGGGCAGAGCGGCTGGAGTCTCCCGAGCGAAGGGCCGCAGCGCACGCCCCGCGCCAGCCCTCTCCGTGACACGCGGCCCCGGGCAGGGCTGCGGCCCGGCCCCGGCCCCAGTTGTGCGGCTGAGCCCCCCGGCCCGGAACGCGCCTCTCAGCTTTTTTGAGAGTTCCTTAAAACCTTGTTTTGTCTCCATTGGCTCTCCGGTGTCTTTCACAAAGACAGGCCGCGCTGTCGAGTCCCCGGCTACGTGCAGCTCTAAGGCTCGTTACGCATATTGATGATAATCGCCAACTCCATGCTGTTGTGTGCACCTAAACATTGAGGCATGTCTGGTCTGAGGCGATTTTACAAATCCATTGTGGGGTAGTAGGTAGTGGCAAAGAGATCACACTGCTGCTGCACCTGCGTTTAGAACCTTTTTTAGGTTTACATGAGGAAAACTTTGGCACGTGCTTAACTTGACACATGCAATTAGTACCATTGAACTCAATGGGACTGCTCCTTTGCACAAAGTTAAGCATATGCATAAAGTTAAACACGTATAATTTTTTGCACGATTATACCCTTAATTTTTAAAAAAAGTGGGTGTGGTTTTTTTTTTTTAGTATGTTAAGTTATGGAACACCAGTTAAGCTCCAGAGCTAAGGTAGGGTTACCATACGTCCGGATTTTCCCGGACATGTCCGGCTTTTTGGGCCTCAAATTCCCGTCCGGGAGGAAATCCCAATAAGCCGGACACATCCGGGAAAATAGGGAGGGAGGGGCCGGGGGCCGGCGGTGCTCGGCTCGGGGGCGGGGCCGGGGGTGCTCGGCTGGGCGGGAGACGCCGGGGCCAGAGCCTCTTGGCCTGGGCCGGCCGACCGCTGGAGGGAGCCGCTTGGCCGGACTGGGACGCGCCGTGCCCAGACCCAGACCCACCTGCTGCCTCCCTGTTTCAGGCTTCCCACGAACGTTTGATTCGCAGGAAGCAGGGGAGGGGGTGGAGCGGGGGTGGAGCGTTCAGGGCAGGGGGCAGAGTTGGAGCGGGGGCAGGGAAGGGGCAGAGTTGGGGTGGGGAAGGGGTGGAGTGTCCTCCTTTTTTAAAATTAAAATATAGTAACCCTAGCTAAGGACCAGTTGCATTTTGCACAAAAGCAGGGATTCAGTTTGTGTGTGGAAAAGTTACAGAATCTCCATCCCAGTTTTACAACCGAATTAATTTTGGATACAGAATGAATGTTCTGAGTATTTATAAGTAAATTCAATAACTAATTTGAGTTAAATTAGTTTAAAAATGGTACTGTACTTTAGTGGCATCATAGAGGGAACATATGAGAGGGAAGACCCTCTTTTAAAACCCTTCTTTAAAAATCAGTTTAATCGGAGACCAAAAGCATTAAAATGCCTTAATCATAATAAAATGGTTATTGCATCGAGTCGCTAGGGGACAAAATTACAGTTCCTTTGAGTGTATTAACTGCATTTCCATATTATAACATATTTGAATTTAAGTGTAATCTTAATGCTGAATTTCTTGGGTTTGTAATGCTTGTTTTTGGGATAATTACTACTGTCCCAGTCCCTAAGTTAATGCACCTCTACCCCAATGTGGTCTCCTTGAGGGCACTCACTTAGGTCTCAGGCTTCCAGCTGTCAACTTTCTCGAGGCAGAATCCCATGATTCTCCAGACTGAGGCCTTCCGTTGCAAACCCCTGTATTTCACTCTGATCACCTCAGTGGGTGTGAATTCAGTACCTTCAGTTCTGTTCTCTGAGTGGGAATGACAGGGTTAAACAGGGCAACCTTCATAGAGCAAAGTACTATTTATTCAGAACAAAAGCAAATCAAAGAACAATAAACAGCTTATATGCGTGCCTGGCTTATCAGGTGATTCCCCATCTTCCCCATGGAGACCCTGGTGGGTCTAAAATACTTCAGCTCCTTCCTCATGCCTGTTAGTTTTCGGAAGGTGTCTGAGGATATGTGTACATTGCAATAAAAGACCCTTGGGCACAGCTGTGGCTGTTCTGGGTCAGCGGATTCCAGTTCACAAGGCTCAGGCTGCTGGGCTATAAATTTGCTGTGTAAATGTTTGGGCTTGTGCTGGAGCCAAGGCTCTGAAATCCTGGAAACAGGGTGGGTCTCAGAGCCTGGTATCCTACACTGCAATTTTTAGCGCTGCAGCTGGACCCTGCAGTGTAGATGTACCTTGAGTCTGACCCTAGGTCAGGCTATTATTTTTGTACATTTTCAAATTCTGTGTCTGCTAAGCCTATGTTCCAGGCCAGACCAGTACGTGTGTTTTTCCCCAGGGGATGAAACTGCAAAAGACTAGTTACCCCTATTGTTTCAGTATTAGAGATTTGCATTAATTACTGTCCATTATCTTTAGTTCCTGCAGGAAGCATTCTTTATCATACCCATTTAGCCAGGAATACAATTGCTAACAAGACCATAAATATACATATAACAATTATAAAATCAGTTTAATAGCACTTGTCACTCTCAATATAATAGGCTTTGAATATGCTGTGATTCCAAAGCAGCTATCACAACAACATTCCTGTAATGGTTTATCCTTTAACTAATTATATGTACTTTCAACCTTAACTCCATTTTAATGTAGTTTTTTTTCTCTTGGAAATTAAACAGCTCTATAGCGGACTTCATTTTTTTTCATAATTGTTCCTTTTTTTATTATGAAACAAAACCCACAAGATTATAATGTCTTGACTAATAGAAAATTATTGCTACAGTTTAAGAAACATTATTGCTGATAAGATCTCTTCTATTTTCAGGTGTCTGGGTTTACAGCTGTAACATGGCTGTCACAATAAAAGAATGTCTTGAGCTTCAGCTCTTGGAAATGGAAATGCTCTTTTCAATGTTTCCTAATAAAGGAGAAATAAGCCTTCAGGACAAAAATGCTCTTACTTATGTGCAGATGTACTTGAAAAATATAAAAGAAGGACTACCACCTCGGATTGAATATTCAATTTCTGTTGATATTGATGAGCCAAAGGTGAGAACTTCCATTTACATTTTGTTTTTAACTATGCAGTTTTCTTAGTTTTGCACTGCAGTCATCCAAAAAAAGGATGTTCCATGCAGTGTTTTTTACAAAATATTTATAGTTTCCATAAAAAGTGCACAGAGTTCTTGTTTTAGCTTGAATTTAACAGAAATCCTGTATTTGTAGTGAATAATAAGTTTTGTTTGAAGGAGCAATTATCCTTTGGGCCCTCTGCTGGTTGGCATGGAGTGCAGCAAACATGTACATACAGTAGAACTAGATCATAGAATATCAGGGTTGGAAGGGACCTCAGGAAGTCATCTAGTCCAACCCCCCCTGCTTAACGCAGGACCAATCCCCAGACAGATTTTTGCCCCAGATCTCTAAATGGCCCTCTCAAGGATTGAGCTCACAACCCTGGGTTTAGCAGGTCAATGCTCAAACCACTGAGCTATCCCTCCTACCTCATATTTACGAACACCTCGGGAAATGAAGGTTATTCGTAACTCTAAAATGTTCATAACTGAACAAAACATTATGGAGGTTCTTTCAAAAGTTTACAACTGAACATTGACTTAATACAGCTTGAAACTTTATGCAGAAGAAAAATGCTGCTTTTCCTTTATTTTTGTAGTAGTTTACATTTACGTGGCCACTTAAGCCTGCTGCATCATCAGTGGTGAGGGAAACAGGGCAAGGAGATCTTTGTCAAGTTTTTAAAAGAATGGGAAATAGAAGTGCTTATCATTTTTCAGCACAAGGTCCAAAAAATTTCATTGTTGTTTCAAATGATAAAAGAAAAATAAGAAAATCCAGTTTGAGAGTCATAAACATCTAATCATATATACATTGGAGATCCAGATTATGTAGTGTTTTCAAAGATGATGCCACATCATTCTGTGATTGGAAGGAAGTTTATGAATTATGTTGGAAGCAGATTAACTGCAGGATAGCAGGAATCACCCACAGATTTAAGTTGTGAATGTTTGGGTCATTTAGCCCATACCCTCAGGAGAGCTCTTCTGTGGTATTAAGGTAGAAATACTCTGATAACAAATGGGAATAATAGCTAATTTTTATAATAGGACAACCATATATTAAAAACATTCCAATGTTTGAATATTCTTGTTTCAGAAAATTGTCCATCCTTGCTCTGTCAAGTTTTTAAGATGAATTATTTACATTTGTTTACTTGTGTAGTAACCAAACTTTGCACCCTCGATAATCTGTATGTTATTCCCTGATAACCAGAAACTTCTATGCTCAAACTCTGTTCACTATTTTTTTTTTAACATCATCTTAATAAAATTCTGCACAATGGAAATATCCCTTGAACTAAGTATTCCAGTAATTGGTTGGCCTACAATTGCCTCATCTATATTACTCTGAATAGCAGTCACCACTCCTTCACCACACATGGCTCTTTTTTGTTTATGGAGAAATGAGAGGTTTCAATCACCTTTCATTTTCTTTTTGCCAGGTCAAATTGAGTGACAATAGTATCATGTTACATAACCACTCTTCCCTCAGGTGTTTTGTCTGCATATGCAAGTTGTCAAACAGAGAAAGTTCTTTCTCATTCTCACAAGTAGAGTGTGAGTGAATGATAGAGAGAGAGAGAGAGCATCTGACAGTGCGGAAAGTTGTCAGATGCCTGGAGCTTGCCATTTCTCTATTACAGAAACAGAGTAATAGTAGGATTCTTGAAAGTCACTTGCCCCTATGACTCTTTCTGGAACTGCAGTTTACATTGAAGCAGCTGCCTGCTCTGCCTAGCAATGCTCAGCACAGCCACCTAAGAACAGGTGCAGTAGTAGGAACAGCTTCTCTTCAGGGATAACCACTTGCCTACTACAGACTTGCAACATTACTCTAGACAATGAAGCAGGAAAGATCAACCACATGATGGGGATGTTGCAGGTATGGACGCAGTGAGATGGGACAAAGTAAAGGGAACAGACAAAAAGAGATGGAGGGATCCATGACCAAGAAGAAAATATGCTATTTTTTTAGGTTGTGGCAATTTTATTTGATCATATCTTATTTCCTTGGCAGAGAAGGGCATATCGAAAGGAGGGTGAGTCCACTTTAAACCTTTTTGGGAGGAGGGGAGGAGGAGACCTATGGGCTGAGTATGGAAACATACCAGCAGTCTCCCCACCCCTGAGGATGACTGCTGTAAGTAACTTTCTAAACTCTCATTAGCTCAGGCATTCCTATGGGGAGTGCAGGACATGGTTCCTGAAATTCCTGTTACTGTAACATGCATTTCAGTACTTGTAGATCTGATTTCATGTTTCTCTTTTTCCTCCCCGCTTAATTTTAAGGTAAAAGTAGACTTGCATGTATCCTTGCCTCACCGCTACCCTCATTCAGCACCGCAACTATCTGCAAGATCAAATGCACTAGACAGACAGAATCAACTGCAGCTCAATAAACATCTCACTTCTCACATCAGTTCTTTGGATTTAGGTGAACTGTGTGTATGTGCGGCGGTGCAGTGGGTACGAGACAACAGTGCATCTTATTTCCAGAACAGTAACGTCTCTTCTGAAACTGCTCCAAAAGAAAAGGCAGTAAAAATAATTTTTCATCGAATGTGGATCTATAGCCATCATATATATAGACAGGAACTGAAAAAGAAAATCTTTGATTGCGCAAAGCAATTAAATTTGACTGGTTTCTGCCTAACAGGGAAACCTGGTATCATCTGTGTGGAAGGGCTCAAAGAAAACTGTGAGGAGTTCTGGCATGTTATTAGATATCCTAACTGGAAACACATTTCCTGCAAACATGTTGAGAGTATGGAAACTGAAGGAAATGGGGATAAGCTTAATCTCTTTCATACTTTTGAAGATTTACAGTTCCAGGCACATGGTGATTATGGACTGAGGAATGACTATCACATGGATCTTGGCCAATTCTTAGAATTCCTTAAACAGCATCAAAGTGGACATATTTTTCAATTATTATTTGGTGTTGAAGGCAAACATTCAGACAATTAACAGATCAATTGTATAACTAGTTTTAATTTTGCACAATGTTACAAATGATTTTTTTTTTAAGTTCATCCATGGATATACGATTAAAAACTGAGTGAAATTGGTATACTGTGCTTATAGCTATTATAATAAGGGAAACTATGTAAAGTAAGAAAATCATGGTGCAAGGATAGACCCTTTGCTTTTGTTTTAAATACATCATAAGTAAGATCCTTCGTTTTCAGTTTAAAGCAATTTTTACTGGAAAAAAACTGGGTTTTAAAAGCATTACTTGTTTTTTTCTGATTTTTGACCTACTTTTGTATCATTCAAATATATAAAAAATAACTTGTTTTATTAGGAAAATACAATACATTGCATGAGATATGTATTACAGTAATACATTAGTCTGTGTGTATATGCAAAGCTGCCTGTTAAAGTAAGGCGATGTATTAGTGTAGAAGATACACACACAATAAACAAACAGGCATGCACGCAAGCTCTGAAGTGCATGCGCATCTGAACGTACTGATGAATCTCACACCCGCCACGTACACATTTCAAGTTGTTAGCAGATAACGGTTGAAAAATTTAACACTAAAATCTGTATCAGAATATGTTTCAGCACACAAGGAAGTAATCAAAAGTTTTAAAAAATCAGAACAGGAGAAAAGGATGAAGTTTAGTGTATGCGCTGCAAATGGTGTGGCCCAATTAAATGTAAATATTTATAGGCTATTAGTTCTAAGTCTACAACAGTAAACTGTTTATTCAAATGAAATATTTTATTTGGAGCTTAGAGATATATTGTTAAACTCAGAAGTGGCATTGTGTTTTGAGTGCTGTTTTAGTTCTGCAGCAAACCACATTGAATTCTGTTCATCAGAGCATTAATTTACTGAATACTTTCCCCTCTGCTTCCATCCCCTGAAATAAACCTTGCTATTACCCCAAAAAAATTAATAATAGTTTTTTGCAATGATTTTCATCTGCCTTTGGTAGTTGTAGTAATAAACACAAATTTCTGGGAAAAATGAAATAAAATAAAATGCAAAAACAAAGGGCCTTAATCATAAGCTTTTGAGATTTACATATTTATTTGTGTAAATGAGTGCTAAATCTATAGCTGAAACCATGTAATCAGCATTTATCACCTCTTGGTCCATGAGGCAGATTCCAGGGCAGTGGTTGCGAATTGCACAATCCCATACTATAGTACTCAGAATTATGTAGTCTGTCTGGCACCTCACCCACATGTCACTTGGTAGTTTCTTCAGGTCTAGGCCTGTAGTAACTTTTTTATATGGGATTGGGTGGGGAAGAGGAGGGATGAAGGGGCTGCACACTCCAATTATTTTGCATTAACAACAAAAATAGACTACTCTGTTCCATGCTCTAGTCTGTACAGCACCCTGACCTCTGTAAAGCCTCTATTCAAACTCCATTCAAATCTTTTTTTAAAGTGCATAAGAAATGAGCCATCTAACATTTTATTTCTTACTAAAACAAAATTTTGAAAAAATTACCATCCATTTATTTCTTTATAGCCTAGCTTTTGCTCAAAAACCATGTAATTTTATTGCTGTTATCAATTTTCTGTACTTTCCCTTCCATCTCCAGTCTTGTTACCCCCCAGTTATATTAGCTTTTAGCTGTTCCGGCCAAGGATTTGAGATTTGTATCTGAACTGTGAGATGCCTTGCATTCTTTTGGGTACTGTAAAAAATAATAAATGCATGGGGTTTGGAGTTCCTACTGAAGTGTACCAAATATCAGAGTAGCTGTTATTTCACACAGGGGGATGAAGTCTTACAAGTTTAAAAGATATAAAAAAATGTAAAACTAAAACATACATATAAGTTTACATAAATGAACAGGTAAATAAATCAGATAACTATGTAGCGTTTTGGAAGACATGGTTATATATTTAAGATGTGCTATGGACACTTCCTTTTTAGTGAAATGAATACTGAAGATTAACATAGCTAATATATATTAGTAAAAAAAAATCACTCAATCACTAGAGGGAGATACATGTAGGCTTTGAAGGGACATTCATTAGCTTCTCTCATTAGAAAACTTTCTCTTGACTGCTGCCATTGCACCTGCATGATTGCAAATGTACATACAGTTTTTCCTAGGGAAAAAAATTCTACATTTACCATGTTTTAAAACAAAAATGTTTTCATTATTTTTATTTAAAGGTGGTAATATAGCTATTTTATATGCAAATTGTACTGTGCCTTTCCTTAATTAAACAGATTGTGCTATTTAGTCTCTGCCATACTGTTTTGTCAGTTTGGACATAATCCTGATTTCATTGAAATTAGTGGCATTAGTGAGAGCAGGATTTAGTCCTCTATTGCAATACATTGTAACATGTCAGAAATGTATAGAGATGTGATTCTCTAATATTCCAGCTGAAAATCATAAGCAAAAAAGGGAAACACTTGCCACCAGTCCATTGCCCAAATTGATTTTTATTCTTATGTGTACAGTTATTTTAGCAGCTTAATCAACTAATTTGAAATAAAAGTACAAAGTTTTAAAGAAAAAATTAGTCTGATTGTAAAAGTTTTCAGCATATTAAAAAAATAATTTTTAGATTTGACAGAAAACTACTAAATATTTGAACTCTCAACTATTGCTACCTTGTTCATTTTCTATTAAAGATTAAAAAAAAAAACCTAAATTTTTAGATTTAACAGACAGAAAAGTAATAAGTATTTGAATTCTTTCAACTACTGCTACCTTGTTCATTTTCTATTAAAGATTTAAAAAAAAACTAATAATTTTTAGATTTAACAGACAAAAAAGTAATAGGTATTTGAATTCTTTCAACTACTGCTACCTTGTTCATTTTCTATTAAAGATTTCAGGTCTGTATTTTCATGGCTTCCTTGGGCCAGACATAAGAGTCCACTACAAAGCTGTCATAATCAGTGCTATAAACCTGTGAGCGGATGAATGCTTCCTTGTCTTCAGGCTCAGGATAGAAAGATGCTGTTTTATTGCTGTAGGCTTGTTCTGCAATCTGGAAACACACAACCAAGTTGACAATTACAACCTATTAAGTTTATTGCAATGCTGTTCCAAAAGTAAGAGTAGAAATGATGATAGCTCAAAATTTAACAAACGATACCAGATTCTCTGCTGGTGTTAAACAACAGATTTATATGAATTTGCATCAGTTGTGGATCTGGCCCAATATATCATGAGGAGGGGATTAACAAAGGTTGTGCAAAATTTTCTGAAAAGCTGGGTTGGTGCATCCATTGAAATGAGTTTTACCCGTGGCCTTCTCACTCTCTTTACTCCTAGGGGAAATCTGCGCCCTGAATTGATACCTTCTGCAGATTTCTTGGCTCCCCTGCAGAAAAATGGGGGAGCAAAGAAATCTGTGGGGAACACACACCCCTTTCCCAGCAGCCTGGGTGCATCTGCTGGGAGCAGCTGGCAGCAGAGAGTAGATCACTGTGGGAGGGAGGCTGGGCGAGCATGCATCCATGGAGAGATGTTAAGGAGGTAGGGCTGGGTGCCTGCCTGTGAAAGAGTGAGAGAGACTCACTCTGTCCCTCTTGCTCCCTCTTGCTGCATTCCGGGCTTGGAGGCATAGGGCTGTGTGAAGCAGGCTCTGTCCCTGAGGCAGAGCACAAATGTAACAACTAAGCTGGCAGGTTGCTAATGTTCACATTGTTAGTTCATTGTTCCCATTCTTAGGGTATGTCTACACTACCGCGGTAGTTCGACGGCTGGCAATCGAACTTCCGGGTTCGATTTATCGCGTCTGGTCTGGACGCGATAATTCGAACCAGGAAGTGCTCGCCGTCGACAGCGGTACTCCACCTCAGCGAGAGGAGTACCGCGGAGTCGACGGGGGAGCCTGCCTGCCGCGTGTGAACCGCGGTAAATTCGAACTAAGGTATGTCGACTTCAGCTACGTTATTCACGTAGCTGAAGTTGCGTACCTTAGATCGAATTGGGGTGTTAGTGTAGACCAGGCCTTAGTCAATTAAGGCTCCTTTAGCTTGCCAGAGTGATGTAAAGTATCAGAGGGGTAGCCTTGTTAGTCTGTATCCACAAAAACAATGAGGAGTCTGGTGGCACTTTAAGACTAACTCCATGCATCTGAAGAAGTGGGTTTTTTACCCACGAAAGCTTATGCCCAAATAAATCTGTTAGTCTTTAAGGTTCCACCGGACTCCTCATTGTTTTAGAGTGGTGTAAAGGAGCCTTATTGTAAATGACAGTAACTGAATCCTCAGCTAGGAAGGTCTATGGGCTTTCTCACTTTTTTTCCTGTGCCAGAGAGGCACAATGGTATTAGATTACAGCTTGGGATCTATTTTACTTATCCATTTAAAAAAAAATGCAGGACAATGATTAGGAAAACTGTATGACTTTCATGTATGAAAGTCTGAGCAATTTGGTGTTCTGTAAAGTAGAATGTCGCTTTAAACACCAAAATAAAAGTAAGGTAATTTAAATGGAAATCCAGGATTATAACTGGAATGCAGGTTATTGGTTACCAAGTATTTGTAACCTTCATGTGTTTAGGAAATGCTGAACAGTTGTTGTGATTTTTTTCTGTATGGTAGTTTAAATAAATTACCAAAATAAGTGAAACTGCTGTGATTATATTGCATTATTTTGACAAAAAATGCAGAATTTTGGATTATTTGCCCTGAATTCCCCCAGGCCAGACATAAGGAGTTCTCTCTTGGAAGTTTATCTCTGGTGGTGCAAATGGATTGCTCACTTTTATTCAGTAACATCCTAGCTTTTATGGCAGCAGTGGGCAAATTAGTCCCCCCTTCACACAAGCAAGAAAGAAGTGAAATCTTTCCTTTTAAGAAGATACCTTCTTCATGTAGAAAAGATGTGTAATTCTTTGTACTTTGATCATCTTTTGCCAAGGTTAACTCTTCCTTTCCAAGCCTCACATGAAATATTTCTTGCTTCATTTTGCTTAAAGGCTCAACGGCCACTAGATGTGACCAGAGCTGTTAAGGTTGCCATAATTGACAATATCTTTCTTAGTAAAGCTAAATCTCCAAGAAATGGCGAGTTTTGATCCTACACCAGCGTGTGGGCTTTGTTTTAGTGATGATTGGGAAAAGCACCTGATTAAAAGCTTCTGAATTCTCCATAGTTAGTTGAATCAAGTGCTATATTACTAAGGCCTTTCGTTTTTGGTTATTCGTTATTGGTAAAATTCCCAGGTTATACAAAAGTTATTTGTATTTTTTACCAATTGTAACCCAAATTTTGGACCTCTCACATACACGAAAATACTGATCATGTTAAGAAAATCTAATACACTACATTGAATAGAAGTATTTTTGTTATTAATCAATTAGTCAAAGTGTAAATGTGAGCCAGTTAAAGTAAGACAACATAATGGAAGATACACATGCACATCCATGGGTATATCAGTGCTTGAGTCCTAACCCCCCCACCCCCCAAACTTGCTGAAATTCCCAGACCCAATTCTCTGCTCCCAGGAGGAGAGATGGTGGCTCAGTAACCTGGATGGCCCAGGTACCAGAGCCACCATCTCTCCTTCTGGAGCGGGCCCGGAGGCAGAAGACTAGAGGAGGGAGCCTTAGAAGATGGCGCCCTTATGTTCTCCAGTTCCAGGCCCGCTTTGGTTTAGTAAACCAGGCCACCCAGATTACCAAGCTGCCATCTCTCCTTCCGGAGGAGGGAGT